CTATATAAGACCCACAGCCAACATTATACTAAGTGGTAAAACACTGAGATTTTCCTCTAAAATCTGGAATGAATCCAAGGTATCTACCTTTTCAGCTTGCATTCAATATAGTGTTCTAAGTCTTAGCTAGAGCAGTAAAGAAGAGATAATGAAGCAAAGATGATACAAACAGGAAAGAAAGAAAAAAGGTAAGTTACTCTTATTTGCAGACAACATGATCTTATATTTAAAAGACCATAAAAACTCTGCAAAGAAACATATAAGACTTGACAAACACTTTCACCAAAGTGGCAAGATACAAAATCAATATACAAAAATATTAGCTTCTATGCATACCAATAATGAACTTTCCATAAAGAAACATGGGAGGGGGAATATCCTAGGAATAAACCTAACCAAGAACATGGGGGATTTCTAAAATAAAGTAGTTTCTGTTTGTGTGTTTATGGTGTATGTATGTGTGTGTTTTGAAAGGATCTTAGTACATAGAAGAGGCTGACCTTAAATTCAGAGATCTGTCTGCTTCTATGTCCCAAGTATTGTGATTAAAGGTGTGTGCCACTACATATACCCGGATTAAATGAAGTTTTTAAAGCAGGGGAGAAAAAAACAAAAGAACACTAGACAGTAGGAAGACCTTGTGTGCCCATGGACTAGTAGACTTAATGTTGTGAATGTATTATTAATACATTAATAATACTTAATGTATTATTGAAGATGATCTACAAATCTAGTAGAATAGCCACCAAAATTCCAATGGCATTCTTCACAGACTAGCAAAAGCAATCCTAAAATTCATATGGAAACATAAAAATCCCTAAGATTGGCAAAACATCCATTAGTAGAAAGAGAAATGCTAGAAGTTTAATTACAGATATCAAATTTATATCACAGATCCATATAACAAAATTAGCACAAAAACAGACATGTAGATCAATAGGATAGACTGAGGTACCTAGGATAAACTTAAATGTCTATAGCTACCTAATTTTCTACAAAGATGTAAAAAGTACCTTGGAGAAAATAAAGCATCCTCTTTAACAAATAATGCTGGGGAAACTGAATTTCTATATATAGCAAAACAAAACAAAACCCCTGCCTCTGATACTATACAATAATCAATTTGAAATGGGTCAAAGACCTGAATTTTGAGACTGCTAAAGGAAAACACAGGCAAAACACTTGAAGACAGATGGTAGCACATGCAAGGGTTTTCTAGAAGAATGCCATCAACACAGAAAATAATGCCAAGAATTGATGGGGGAAACATGACATGAAATTAAAAAGCTTCCACACAGCAGGGGAAACCAGATCCAGGGTGAAGATGCAGACCACAGGATGGGAAAAGCCATTTTCCAACTCTGCATCAGATGGGGGATATCTAGACTATATAAAGAACTCTAAAAATTTTAAACACCAAGAAAGCCATTCAATCAATAAGCAGACTGTTGAATGGATACTTCTCAAAAGAGGAACTACAAATGGTTCATAAATACTTGAGAAAGTGTCCAACCACCTTAGCCATCAGAAAAATGCAAATTAAAATAGCATTGTAACATCCACCCTAGAAAGGAACTCCACCTGAAGACAGGGTTTCTTGAATACCTCAGGTAGAGACCCCCACCCAAGCCCTGACTCCACCCTTGCTGCTTGAGGATCATGTGTGTGAGCACATCCTCCAGTAGGGATCCCCACATCTGCTGCAGCTCCACCCCACTGCCTTGAGGACCTCAAGTCTTACATGCCCCTGATACTACCACAGCGACTCCAACCCTAGGACCACCTGCAGAACTGAGTGAGCCCTCCAGAAATTTTTGGGAACCTGCTGCAGTGAGAACATTCTAACTCTATGGAAGGTTAGTTCCTGTGCTCCAAATCTGGGAGCCTATACACACAATACCACCTAGTGGTTCCAAGACTGACCTCGAGATGCTATTCTGCTAATCTATAACCTGACAATTTGGGGTCATTCCAAACAGAGATCCATATATCTGGTCAACAAAGGTAAGGCAGATGTTCATACCAAAACACTCAAAACCAACCAACCAAACAAACAAACAAAAAAAACCCCACCACCTAACTGTAGGTGCCTAGAGCCCATTGCAAAGCACAAATACCAGAAATAAACAAGACAGTATGTCCCCCAAAACCAGTACTTCTAAAGTTATGTCCCCTTAGAAAGGCAATTTAATGATTCCAAAATATTAATTACAAATATGTTCAAGACTGACTCAAAGAAGATATGCATAAATTCCAGAATGAAGACCACAGAAACACAACTGACTGACACAAAGAAAAACATGAAAACACAATTTAGTAAAGAGCACTTCTGTAGACCCAGCTGAAATAAAATGTGAGATGAAAAATTCAGTAAGCCAAATAAAAAAACTCCATAGAAAACCTTGCCAACAGAATGATCAAGTGGAAAAGAAGATATTAGTGCTTGAAGACATGGATAGTCAAAGTGATCCTGGACAATAAAAACTGAGGAGGTATTGCCACGCAGATTTCAAAGTATACTACAGAGCTATAGTAATGAAATCAGCATGGTACTGACACAAAAACACACTGATCAATGGGATAGACACAAAATCCAAAAATAAGCCTGCACTCCCACAGCCACCTGATTTTTGACAAAGAGATTGTCCATATACATTGTGGAAAAGACAGTATCTTCAACAAATGATGCTGATGAAACTGGATAGCTACATGTAAAAGGATTAAATTAGACCCTTATCATTCATCCTGCACAAAACTAAACTCCAAATGAATCAAGGACCTCAACATAGCACTTGATATCCTGAAACTGGAGTGAACAGAGAAGAAACTATATTTCAAGTTATAGACGCAGGAAAGAACTGTCTGACAGGAGCCCAGTAGTACAGACATTAACAACTGACAAAGGAAACAAAAACGCTGCAGAGCAAAGAGCACTGGAGTAAAGAGGCAGTTTACAGAACGGGAAAACCTTTTTTCCAGCTGTGTATCTGACGGTGTTGAAACAAACAACCCAATTAAAACTGGGGCATGGAACTAAGTAGGATTCTCAAAAGAAGGAAAACTAACAGATGAGAGGCATTTAAAACATGTTCAATGCTGTCCTTACCCATCAGGAAATGCAAACTACTTTTGAGATTCCATCTTACCCACCTGTGAACCCTGAGAGTTACAAGAGCAAGTGGCCTGGAAAGATACTCCAACTGGTACAATAGTGGCATGGATGCTAAGGGGACAACCAACTACTGCCTGCTCCACGAGACAGGACTTGTGGACATGGGTATGGAAGAAACAGGTCTACCAAATGTCCCAGTACACTACCCTTACATGTACAAGCTACTCTAAGTAAACATAACAAAGAAATACTTGCACATCCATATTTTTTTGCTATCTTATTCACAATATCCAGGGAATGGAACCAGCCTAGATACCCATCGACAGATGAATGTATAAAAAAAATGTTGAACATACACTCAACGGAGTGTATATATATATATATGTATATATATATATATATATAAAGAAAAGTGAAATTGTGCCGTTTATAGAAAAATGAACGGAACTAGAATCATTGTTAGGTAAAATAAACCAAACTCAGAAACTCTGTTTTTTTTCTTATATGAAGAATCTATTTTGAAATGAGAGAGGTGGGAAGGGAGAGGGGAAGAGAGAGGAAGAAGGGGGTGTAGAGGAGAGGAGTTATGAAACTAAAAAGGGAACATGAGGGGGTAGAAAAATCTTAATGGAGTGAAAGAGAGGGTGTAGAATGTATGTGATGAGAACAGAAGAGGCTGCTGGGGGAAGGAAGGGAGCCAGTCAGAGAGGAGGGGAACAGAAGACAGTGGGGAGGGACCAAATGTGAACAAAGCTTGACACATTATGTATGGAAATGACATAATAAAGTCCATTACTTCTAATGTTAATGTAAAGGTTCATCATATAAAGAAATCTCCCCTCATCCCAATTATCTTCTAGAAGACAAATGTTATATGCATGACTGTATCTGCATGTTCATATATATGTACATATAACCACTGACTGGTGTCAAACCATATTTTGTAGTTAAAGGCAAAACATACTATTTTAAAAATTCAATACATGACAAATGGAGTTTTGTTTGCTGTAGAATCAAACATAAAACTTGACTAGAATGACAAGAAAGATGTAACGGTGAAATTGTGGCAACATGAGGACTCTAATTGAATAATTCTAGGTAAAAATTCTCTATTGACCCTCTTAATAAAAGTTAGACAATGTCTTAATCCTAAAGTTTATTTCAAACCCAACTTTACTGAACACTCTCTCATACGTTAAATAAATCTGTCTTACTCCTATTCTCTAGCATGTAGATGTTTATGTTAGTTGCATTAAGAGAGACCAACATGGATTCTGTGTAGGCCACAGAGTTCTAGAGGCCGGAAGGGCGACCACCATGCCTTCTTTATTTTTCTACAGGTGAATATTGGGAAGTTCTGAGAGAGTTTTGGTTTAATTTGACTGCCAATACTTACAATGAGCTCCACAAATTTCACTGTTTCATAATCTTTTACATATAAGTTTTGTTATTTTTACACTTATATAGAAATACTTTAAAAATTCAGATAATTGATGAGCATTATGGGACATGCCTTTAACCCCTGCTTGGGAAGCAGAAGTTAATGGATCTCTGAGTTCAAGGCTGGCCTAATCCACATAGCAAGTTTCAGGCCATCCAGGGCTAAATTACAGACCCTGCCTCAATTTTTGTTATTATTAAGTTAGACATGTGAGAAGAATGCATGCTATTTTATATGTACAAACTATGCCTACACTTGCAAAGTCCAGATGGTAGCTCTAAGATAATCCAATGTTCATCATTTCAACTTGTTCTCTGCATAGAGCTTAGACACAATACTCTAAGGGGAATCCCTTCTTGCCCCTTTTAAACAAACAATGACTTCATCCTAAAGTTGATTTCAAACTCAAGACTGTGACCATGGTTTCTCCCAAAGTCTCCACCTTACCTCTGAAGCCCCTGGCCGCTGCACGGAGCTGTCAGAAGGCCACAGACACCCTTCCTGGAGGTGGGGAGGAGAAAAGCGAGGAACAAGAGATAAGAAAATCATGTGTTTCATAGAATAACAGCAGTAGTAGCCCCCCAAAACCTTCAACCCGAGTTTTTGAAACAAGAATCACTTTGCCCTTTGGACAATGGCTGACTTGTCTAAGGCAAGGAACAGGAAAGCGCTGATACCCTTGCATGCCTCAAATCTAAGAGGAAGGTTGTAATCCAACAGAAAAATTGGAAGGCTTAGATTCTGGATGTAATGGATTTGAAGTCAAATACTGGTTCATGTAACCATGTGCTTCAAATGACCATCTAACTATACTCAGTCGGTATCTACACTTGGAGAGCCCCTGGGCTAGAAAAGCTCTGAGAGGCCTCCCCAAAAAGAATAGATCATCAAGGCCCAGCAGTACCATGATGCCACCATACCCCTCATCACCACAACCTGAAGTCTATGGCTACTACAGAGACACTACCCTGACGCAGGTCAGGTCTCAACATCGGTTGAAATTTCCAAAGCCTGTATGACCTTCTGAAGTCTTCTATTGAGCTTATTCTTCAGCTAGAATATTCCCAAGTATAATTTGATAACTAGGAGCTGTCTTTTCAAGAAATTTTTTGGCAAGAACCAGCAAGATAACACAGCATTTTCAGTTAAGCTTGAGGACCCAGAGTCTGGTCCCCAGCACACAAATAGTAGCAAGAGATAAGAGACACACCTGGATATTGTTCTCAGACCTCCACACATGCACCAGGGCACTGCATACATACATACATATAGAAAAAATATACATACAGAAGTGAAAAATTGTTTTTTTAAAACAGGGGTTCAGTCCTGGCTGTCCTAGAACTCATTCTGTAGACCAGACTGGCCTCCAACTCACAGCAATCCACCTGCCTCTGTCCCCTGAGTGCTGGGATTAAAACATGTGCCACCACTGCCTGACTGACAAATGAAAATTTTAAAAATGGTTTGGCTAGACTACCAAGGTGGCAAGCGAATAGCTGTATTATTGGCGCAGCCATTCCCCACACCATAAACGTGTTCACACCACTCCACAGTGACATACCTTTTGAGTTCAGATTGCTGGCTATTTGCAAAGATCTCCTGGGCCATCAGCACAGTTGGTGTCACAGTAAGATCTGCTGAGCAAGGAGATACCTGCACTTTTGGACTTCTGGGAATATGTCTATTTGACCTCTCGGGATGCCCGATCTTCCCCAAACTGCAAAGCTCATAGTGAAATACCCAGGCCCCCAGGTGCAAGCCCACACTGTGGCTGGCATTATAATAGAAATATTCACTTTGTTGCTAGACGCATTGTTTTATACAACCCATTCCTAAGATACTCAAAAATACCAGCTGTTCAGAGGAAGTGCAGGCATAAGGGTCTGACTACAAAATCGTGCAATGAACCATTACAGCCTGTGCCTGGCAACAGGTGAAGGACCAGACTTCAATCAAATGGTGTGACTGATCCCCTCTCCAGTACAGCAGAGTGGCAGTGTCACCTCTCAAACTCCTGCTTGTTGACCAACTGGTGACTAGCCCCAGACTCCCGCAAGGAAGTCCACTGGTGTTTCTGAGAATCTCTCGCCATCCTGCCATCAGGCACCACTCTTCTCTCCCACAGCCCTTAGTGTCCAGCTCCAATCATTTAACTCTACCATCATCAAGGACCCAGGAATGAGGGGTTCACATGGTCTCAATGGCAATGATTATTCTTAGTGGATCCATTTCCCTCAAAATCGACAGATCAAGCAAAAGTGCTTACGGAAGCTCCCAGCAGCCTCTTGGACATCCCAGTTTCCTTGGCCCGTCACACCTTTCAGGTGCTCCTGGAAATGCTGCACTGGGATTATTTAGTGTGGTCACTCCCAGGGACCACCACTCTGCACCTCAGCAGGTGCCTAGTCACTTTCCGATAGAAGGCTGAGTCCTCGGAATCTTGTCTAAACATCTCTGTTCATCCTGCCTTACCCTCTGCAAACACGGCCCCCTTTGTATCTGGAGATATGGCCTGTCTAACATGGGGAACTCAATGGTGTCTCCTCATTTAGACATTCCTGACTGCACTCATATTAACACATTAGCTATTGACAGTCCTAAGGGATATCATAGAAGTTGTCGGGTGAATTTTTTTTAATTTCTGCAAAATGCATCACTAGTTTGTAGATATTTGTGGACAGTAATGACTTTCTAAAAATATTTTATTCATATATATAGGATGTCTTTCCATTTTTGTGTTGTCTTTAAATTTTTGGCAGTATTTTATGGTTTCTGATGAATAAGTCTTTAGTCTCTTCAGTTAATTTTACTTTGAACTATTTTTAAGTCTATTGTAAATGGAAATGTTAGTTTAAAAAAATGCAGCTGATTTCTGAGCGCTGATTTTGTAGCTTGCTACTTTGCTGTTTCTTGTTTATTGGTTAAAATACTTTTATCTTTGTTATGGTAGGCTCCTAAGATCTTGTCACCTGCTAACAGGTAATCTTCCTTCATCCTTTCCCACTGGGAACCTGTGCCAACTAGTATTGTCAACTTGACACAAGCTAGGGCCATCTGAGAGGAGGGAACCTCAGCTGAGAAACCGCCTCCATAAGATCAGGTTGTAGGCAAGCCTATAGAGCATTTCACAATTAGTGATTGACGTGGGCGGGCCCAGTCCATTGTGGGTGGGGCCAACTCCAGATACTATGAGAAAGCAGGCTGAGCAAACCATGAGGAAGAAGTCAGGAAACAGTTTCCTCCATTGTGGGAACACCAGACCTTGAGCAGAGACCCACTTCCCCTTCTGCCTGGGAGTAGGCAGCTGTAAGACAATGTTTAGTAAAAACATGTTTACTAAAAACGATACAATAAGTTCCTGGGAAAGGCCTTCCCACGGAAACCGCCCTGACCTCGACCTTGTCCAAAGACTAATCGCACCTTAAAAACCCACACACATCCACCTCTGGGTCAGAGCAGAACCAGCCAGGGGAGAGGAGAGAGCAGAAGCTTCTCTGGTGGGAGCTTTGCTTAGGAGGTTTTCTTGAACCTTTTTGGAGCCTGTTTAAAGTTTTCTTTATATCGTTGAACGAGTCTCTGTGTTGTCAATCCCTGACACCCTCCGCACATTCTCGGACACAGGCTGCGCAGCAGATGTGACAATTGGAGGTCCCACTGAGATCGTGAAAGTGAGGTAAGTGGACGGGGTTAAGAAACTATGGGGAATAGTTCCGGGAAGCTAGAATCATTACAGGATCAACTAAAAAAGTTACTTAAAGAACATGGGACTGCAGTCAAGTCTAAAACCCTAGAAGGCTTTCTAAAATCCATCGAACGAGCCAGTCCATGGTTCATTACTGGGGGAAGCTTAAATATTCCAGATTGGGAGGAGGTTCGCCATGATCTTCATAGACTTTTACGAAAAGAGGGATCTGAGTCCTTGCCCCCTACGACATTCTCCTTATGGAGATTAGTGAGGGGAGCACTTTTGACAGATAAGGTTCGTTACCACCAGGTAGTTCAGGACACAAAAGAGGCTTTTTTAGAGTTACAAGAGACTGAGACTCAAGCCTCCTTGAGTTCAGGGGAAGAGAGTGAGGAAGAGACCGTGACTGAAACTAGAGGCTCCATTGTTAGTGAGGATGACGGGGAGTCTCTTAGTAACAACAAAAAAATGGGTAGAGATCTCCGGGCACGACCCAAAAAGAAGGACTCCGGTCAGAATCGGTTATATCCTTCTCTATCAGACCTAGAAAATGGAAGTAGCTCAGACTCAGACTCGTCACAGTCTGAAAAGGAACGGTTACTTGCTGAGATCGCGGCCCTTAAAAAAGAACTAAAAAAGATTCTAATTAAGGAAAGAAAGGACAGGGAGAGAAACCCTTCCCCATACTCTGAAAAAAGGGACTCCTCCTATGAGATAACCCAGTCCTTCTCGGACCTGGAGGGAAGACCCAGAGGAGGGGTCCAATGCTGCCCGGTGGTGGCCCCAGTAATGGAAGTTCCAGATCCGAACAATTCTGGACAGGTCATTAGGCGTCATAACCCTTTAAATTTTAAGGATATAAAACAACTTAAAGAGGCAACTTTAAATTATGGAGCACAGGCTCCCTTTACACTTTCCTTAATGGAATCTTTTGCATCTCTTAATTTGACACCTGGCGATTGGCAGCAGCTTTGCAGAGCAGCTCTGTCGGGGGGAGATTATTTGATTTGGAGAGGTGAGTTTCAGGAAAGATGCAGCCAGACAGCTCAAAGAAATGCACAGGCCGGACAGCCCCAGAGAAATGTGGAGATGCTTACCGGAAGTGGTCAATATGCCACCATTCAGCAACAAATGCAATATGACATCGCAGTCTGTGCCCAAGTGGCAGCAGCAGCCCAAGGGGCTTGGAAAGCATTGCCTTCCAAGGAAGGAGGGGATCATCTGTCCAAAGTCCTTCAAGGACCTTCCGAACCTTTTCAAGACTTCGTAGACCGCCTCAGTCAGGTAGCAGAAAGAATATTTGGGGGCATTGGGCCTGCGATGCCAGTCATAAAGCAGATGGCATTTGAAAATGCAAATAAATATTGTAAGGAAGCCCTTCGCCCCTATCGCAATAAAAGTCTAAATGACTATATCCGGATCTGTAGGGACATTGATGGGAACTTCATCCAGGGCCAAGTGTTAGCTGCTGCTATTCGGCCCCAAGTGGGGAAAGAAAGACCTACTCTGGGAGGGAGAAAAACATGTTTTAGCTGCGGTAGGGAGGGACACTTCCGTAGAGAGTGCCCTCAAAATAGTACTACGGGTCTCAAGAGACCTGGTTTATGCCCCCATTGTCGAAGGGGATATCATTGGGCCAATAACTGCTACTCTAAAACTGACCGGGAGGGAAATTTCCTTCCTGCTAATAATAATCAGGGAAACGGGAGGAGGGCCCCGCCCCAGGGCCCCAAAACCAATGTGTACGGGCAATGACCACTGCTCCGGGCAGTGGCAGGATTCATTTTCTCCCCAGAGCAACCCCTTCATATCTCAG